CTTCTTTTATTTATTTGTTTTTTTAATAAGAAGCTTTGGAAAAACAAATAAAGTATGTATATTTATGAATCTACAAATACACTGCATTCTGTCCATACACAGGGTGCATTAAAGGATTGAGTCCTGACTGACTGGGGCTCGATTTTAGCTGCTCAGAAACTGCATTAATATAATGTGCCCCAGGGAATCAGGGGTAAAACGACATGCTCCTTAAGACCTTCTGATTCTAATAATTTCTTGTATGTCAATTTCTGTTTAGTGGTATAAACAAAAACCAGATACTGCTACACCCCCTTTAAAAAGTACTTTAAAAATAAGGTATTTCCTCTGGTTTTTTTAGACTAGCTAATCTAAAAATCCCTAACAGTGAGGAGCTCCAGTTCACAATTTTCACTGGACACTAGCAGTCAGATATCAGGATAATATATTAATATTTCAAGATTTAGCACAGAATAGGAATACATTTTTGATATTTTAGAAGTGTATTCCAATTACTAAAAGCAGGATCAGATTTTCTACCATTCAATTATTGCGAGTCTTTGAAAGAATTGAAGAGAAATTCTTAATAACGCTTTTTGGTTCGATGGATTCAAATTCTCCTAAATTATTATAGTTTTAAAAGAGCTATTATACTTAGTCTGGTGAAACTTTTCCCTGTGATCCTGCAAGAACTGAAGGATGTGCTGTGCATGGCAGCAAGGCAGAAATGTCAGAAGCAAGAGAATAGCCCAAGAGCAGAGCCCCAGGCTCCAGACTCACTCAGCAGAAAGCACATGGAACAGGCAGGGAGAGAAAAATATAGAAGCAGAGAAAAAAAAAAAAAAAAGAAAAAAGGCATTTTAGAGCAGAGTGAGAAAGGAAGGGTAAGGGCTTAAAGGCAGGAGGCTGAATAAATGATAGCAGGAGCTGGAAAATCCCCATCCTGCTTCAAAAGAAAGAGGAAGGTCATGAGACAGCACGGTAAGAGCTGCACTATTGACCAGCAGCAAGAGGTACATTTTCTTTGCTTTAAAAAAGAAAGAAAAAAAAAATCATCTTAAAAAAAAGCCCAGCAAGGGTCCTCCTGAAGGGCACAGCGACCGAAGGGGAGCTTTGTCCGGGGGAAACTTCCTGGCTCTGCCGTTCCTGCCTGATGTCGGGGCACGGTGACACCGCTCTGGAGGTGACATAACGTGACACCGGGGGGGGGGTGGTGGCTCTTTTGGATGTGGCACACAATGTCTCAGAGGGAGAACTGTGAGTCGAGATCTTTCCAAGAGCACAGCGGGCTGTTGGTTGTGCAGTCCCAGGTAGGGCTGCAGCGAGGCCAAAGCGCTCCCTGCTTTGACAGATGTGCTCTGTAGTTTGTGAGGACACATCTCCAGCCACACTGAGTGTATTTTGTCATTCAAGAAGAAGACTAATAAGAGGTACTTATTCAAACTGGGTGGTTTTTTTTTTTTTTTTCCTCAGATCAAGTGCATTTTACCCCATTTGGTTCCTATCTTACTTTTAAGTGCCAATTTCCCTCTTGGAGGCAATTTATCTTATCAAAATCCCACAGGATAACTTTGTTATGCAAAAGCAGAACTTCTGATAAAGAAATAAAATATTGGGACTGTCATATACAATTTGCCTACATAACTTTACTGTTGACTTTTACTAATTTTTTTTACCCATTCACCTACACAAACAGAATAGAGTTATTTTTAATTTAGAGTTAATACACTACATTTTATTAGCTGGCAGGAATTAAACAGCAGAGGAAAAAAGATTTTTTTATAATAACAAATAATTGTTAAGAGGCTAACTGGATTAATAAACTAATAATTAATAATATAAAAAAATAGTGTTCTTCCAAGCGCTTACAGGTTGCCAAAAAAAACCCCAAACCCAACTTTTAATTGACACACGTGTCTGCAGTTTAGATAAAGTCAATTTTACCATTCCAGTCTCTTCTTAAAGCTCATTTTAAACAATCTTCCAGTCTAATTAGCATTACCTCCTGGCCCTGTAGTACCATCCTTTTGAAGGCTGGCATGGTTAAAGCACTCAGGTCTGCTTGGTTCAGTATAGTGTGGCAAATGTCAGTGAAATACCAGGGCATATGGCATATAATTACAGGACCATATGGATGCCAGTAGTGATAGTCAACAGCATTTGAATGCAGGAGCAAGAAATTCATAGGAAAAGCAATAAAAGACTATAACACACGATCATAAAGTCATTAAATGATAGTTCCTCTACAGCTGAGAGGAGTCAGGACATGCCTGTCCTTCAATGAAGCAAAGCCACTGTAGCTGGAGAGCACATTCTACACTACTTTTATGTAGCTTGGAGATTCATAAACCCAGATGATTAAGGTGAGTGATGCAAGCAATCACTTACCAAAGCACAGAGCAGATCAACTGCTTCCAGGATCAGCTCCTGGTGGCCAATGCGAGTGACTCCCAGCTCCTCCAGCTCCTGGTGGGTGATGTGCAGCAGCTGCTCCCCATTGATCTTCTCCCTCTCGAAATTTTTGATGTATTGTTGGAGGCAATCATCCAGGCCTGTTTGGAAAAGCCAACAATGCATATTCAGAGAGCAGAGAAAACAAAACCAAACAGAAACAAACCAGTTCTGTAATTCACAATCAGAGAAATTTCTTGGAAAAACAAGTGTGCTTCCTCGGTTGGAGCTATTATGGAAAATGTGCAAAAAAAAAAGTGGTAGTTTGACTTACATAATACAGCACATAGGGCTAAAGAGAAGAGTTTATATTACTGATGCTATTTACTACATTTTAAAATGTTTTAGTACTGATTTCACATCTTCATGGTACTTAATACGGAGACCAGGGAAGGACGAAGCAGCACAGAGAGTGACATTATAGAAAAGCTTTTTCTCCTGATGTCACAAAGATCTAAATATAAGTTTATCTTCTGCTTAGGAACATATTCTTCCTGGTACTGCTCTTCCAGGACTCTTCAAAGTCAGATGGTGTGGCTATCACTGATTGGGAAGAGTGCTCATTTACCACCTGCACTAACTCTGCTACACCCACTGCCAGTTCTCCCCCCCAAGGTCAAATTATCCAGTTTTCTGAATCTCAATAACATACAAATGGTTTTGTTCCAACACCTTCAATTAATAATACAACTTTGCCCCAAATAGATTATTCTATTTCTCAGACCAGAGAAGGGACCCATGAACAACATCAGCTGAAACACTTCTCATTCCTCCAAAGCTGTTTCCGAGCCACCCACGCCTCCACAACAATTAGCTGAACACGAGGCTCCAGTACTAAAAGCACTAAAAGCTACGTGAGGTTACTCAGAGTTCCCTCAAGGACTCTGTCAGATCAACCATAGCCTGATATGCACATGGATTTCTGGAGACCTACAAAATTCACCTTCAATAACTTCACCCACCGAGCAGAGTGAGCAAAACACTTTGATCCTCAGTTATTTGTCCTACAGTGATGCAAGCAAACCTGAGATCCATAAATCTACAGAGATCCAGAAAGCACAGAAATAACCAACTTGGGCATTTAAGGAAGACAGAGTTTTGGAATGTAATTCCTGCACACAGCAAGTTACCAGTGGGGCTCAGTTAAGGAGAAAATGTGCAACCAAGCTCTAAAAGACCACGATGTATCTAAAGAAAAGGAAAGCAACAGAGACATAAACAATATTGTTCTCATCTTTCTGTTTAAAAGTTCTCACAAATGCAATATAAACAGAAGTAAAGGAAAAGTTGATTAATTCCATTTCCTGGATTATTAATCTAAAGAAGCAGATAATTCCATCATGTGCCTCAGTGTCTTTTTAAAGAGAAATTGGTAGTTGTTTTAAAATTTTTTTGAGCCACAAAGGTCCTTTTACTTAACCAGATGGTACAGTCTGGCAATGATGAACAG